TGGGTCACAGGCTTGATGCAGTTATTGAAAGCAAAGGATTTGCAACTAAATATTAAGTCTCATTCACTTTAATCTATTTTAAGTTTATATGTTCCAATACTTTTGCTCACCTAAAAATTTTGTGTTCCATTACAAATAATGCTATCTTCTAAGTTGTGTATCAGATCCAGATGTAAATACCTGGAAATAAAAGCTGAAATGTTGATCTCTTGTCTCATATTCATCTTTTGATGTCAAACCCAAATGTTTTCAGTCTACAACAAAAGTAAACGAATTGGACTCACTGTTCCAATACTTTTGGAGGGCACTGTATGTAGAACAGGACGCCTCAAGGTGACTGGAGAAATTTAACTCTAATTGGCAACTGGGTGGCGCTATAACAACAGAAAAATGCTTCAAAATGGCTAAAATGCGACCGATCGCTGTGGCTCCCCCTGTGGACCAGTGTTGTTGGTATGACTAAGTCATGGTATGGTATGCTGCTGCAACAAGGGCTAGCTGCACCTTTCCCATGTGAACTACCAGTGCGCCCACTTTTAAGTCAATACAACATATAAACACTTTAACTATCTGCCTTTCAACGTGCTACCTCAACTACTAATGTACAGTTTTAGCCCTCTAACTATCCCACTATTGGCAATGGTACTACTGTACTTTCAATAAAGCAATCGTACTATCAACTTCACAAACACTCTGTCTGAATACATTGCTCTTCTTAATGGGTTCAGTTGACTATTTAATCTGCAGTTTCTATGACCTGTATCCCAAACACACACCATGTGAAACTGTATGTGGGCAGCTGTGCACTCAGTGGGTACGGACTAGTTTTCTGTAATGTTGACAAAGAAACAATATTCCGTCTGTTTTAACACTGTCATCATTCAAAGCAGTTTTGGAATCATATGTAAGACTCTGTAAATGAAGAAATGAGCTCTACTGTACATCTTAATAAGACTGCCGACATTATTTAACTTCTAATCATGCTTGGAAAGTTTCATATGCACAAATCAAAATGGTCTGACTCTGCTTTCATTGTTGAACTGCAGCAGTACAGCACCACACTTATATGTGTCAACAACAACAATAAAGCTACAAAGACTCTGTACATTTTATTTGTTGTTTGAAAGGACTGGTAATGACCTCTGACCCCGGGTCTGTTCAGTGTTCAATGATCTCATGTAATCTGTGTTTGTAAAACCTCATATTAGCAAATAAAACATTGCAGAGAACAAAGAACCTTCAGCAGCCATCAGTCAGCAGGTGGAGTCTGACACTGACGCTCAGTGACGTCATGCTGTGGGCGGAGTCAGCAACAAGACAGATTTTACTCTCTAAAAGTTGAAGTGTACGATGTTCTTCAGCTTTCTGTCACACAGTGCTTTCTAACAGGGAAATGAAGCTGTTATATGGCTCTCTCTCTCTTCAGTGATTAACATGAGCTGCTGGTCAGTGGGAGACTCTGGCGACACAGACACACCCACTGTGTAAATGCTCCTTCAGACTCCACCCTGTTCCTCTCAGTGGCCGTTTACACGTACACGGTGATTTTGATAAACGGAGACATCTTCCTTCATTTACACCCAAACGGAGATTTCTCCTCTGAAAACGAGTCTTTCTAAAAACTCCGGTTGCGCGTTTGCATGTAAACTGAGATAAACGGAGATAAACGGAGTTATAGGCAGCCGACGTCACAGTATGCGCCGGAACTTGTGCCTGTGTCAAAAGTGCGACCTATGTTGCTATGCTGACAACGGATACATGGAAGGCTTGAGCCTCTCGTTACACTGCCACCTACAGGTTTGGCATGCTCTTGTGTATATATACACGTGTAAGTGTAAACGAAGATCTTTTTGAAAACGGAGATGGTGAAATGTCCGTTTATGAAAATAGCTGGCAACGTGTAAACGGCCTCTCAGGTGGATACGTGCTGACTGACGTCAGGTAACACACCGACTTAATAAATAATTCACACAACTAACCTTCAAAAACTCTGAACTGTCCCTTTATGGGACACATTTAAAGGCACAGTTCAGAGTTGACAAAGTGAGCTCAGTGTGTGACCGTATGAATAATGTAGTATTTAATATTTTACCTTCTGGTCAGCAGCAGAGTCCACACAGTGTTTAACAGACAGGTGATTTAAGTTACTTTATTTTTACAGCTGTGATCGTCATGTGGACAAAACGGAAGCCGCACGTGTTCACATACACAACACTGACTCTGTGGTTCAGGGTGAACATTAAAGTCTCAACAGTTTTCATGAGGGAGACAAACAGGAGCAGTTCAGGGACCTCTCATTTTAGTCCTGGTTCTGGTTCTGGTTCACCGGGGCCTCCTTGTCCTCCAGCAGCTCCTGCAGTGAGGCCTGGGCCTCCAGCAGCGTGGTGTCGGTGTTGGCTCCCAGGAAGCGGGCGGTGAGCTCCAGGTCCTGCAGCCGCAGACGGACTCTGCTGCCCCGCTGCAGCCGCTCTCCGTCCGCCGGCCGCCGGCACACGCAGTGGAACTTCCCCCCGAAGTCGATGTACAGGTCGTCCCGGACCACGTGGACGATCTTCCCGTATACCACTTTGCCTTTGGCCGGTCCCATCTGGATCAGCGGGGACCGGCGGAGCAGCGCGGCGAAGCTCTCCTCCTGGCTGGGCGAGGAGGCGCTGCTGCCGCGCGCGGAGCTCTCCGCCTCCCGCCGGAGCTCCGACTGCAGGTCGAAGGCGGCAGCGAAGCCGGACCGGGGTCTGTCTGCGGCGGGCAGGTCTCTGTCTGAGGCCCCACTGGCGTCCGAGCTGAAGGAGGTTCTGGTGAACCTGCAGGAGGTGAAGCGGAGTCTGGAAACAACCTTCCTCAGGGCCGCCATGCTGCTGTCTGCTCACCACACGAAGAGAACTAGTTAACTTCCGGTACAGGAGACACGCCCACAGCGCCACCTGGCGGCTCCAGGTGCAACAGCACGTGACTCTTCGACACTAGCCTAAAAATGAACAAGAAGAAAACTAGAAATGAGAGTGAGGCTTGAAACAGAAGAAATGAAAATACAAAACATATAAAACACACTGTGAAAACTGCAGGTCAGCAGTTTCACAGCATCTTTAGCATCTTTAGCTCAAAGCATCTTTAGCTCAGAGCATCTTTAGCATCTTTAGCTCAGAGCATCTTTAGCATCTTTAGCTCAGAGCATCTTTAGCATCTTTAGCTCAAAGCATCTTTAGCATCTTTAGCATCTTCAGCTCAGAGCATCTTTAGCATCTTCAGCTCAAAGCATCTTTAGCTCAAAGCATCTTTAGCATCTTTAGCTCAGAGCATCTTTAGCATCTTTAGCTCAGAGCATCTTTAGCATCTTTAGCTCAAAGCATCTTTAGCATCTTTAGCATCTTCAGCTCAGAGCATCTTTAGCATCTTTAGCTCAAAGCATCTTTAGCCTCTTTAGCATCTTTAGCTCAGAGCTGTTAACGGGTCATCTGGAGCTCGATACTCGGTCCACACGTAAACAGAGAAACATCAGTATTTCTCATATTAATATAACTCCAAACACAATCAGGGAGTCTCTGTTTCACATTGTACACAGGTTCGATCAACTTGTTAAAGTTAAAATCTGTGTGTCTTGAAATATTGACCTCTGGAAACTGATGCAAAGTTTTTACCGTTTTATTTCAATTATTTTTTTCTGTTTTATTTTATTTTGTTTTTATTTATTATATTTTATTTTACTTTGTTTTATTTTGTTTCGTTTTCTTTTGATTTATTTCATTTTATTATACTTTATTTTATTTTTGTTTTATTTTTTTTAATTATGTTCCTTTTTTCTTTTATTTGCTTTGTCCTGTTTTATTTTTATTTTTTTCTGCGTTATTTCATTAGAGTTTGCTCCATGTTTTTTTTTTTAATTTATTTTTATTTTATTTCAGTGACAGCGGGTGGCTCCTACAGATATATATATACGTAGATGCCGCATTCAACAGTGCTCCTCATTGGAGCGATACGTCAACGCGGCCGCCATCTTGCCCAGGTGGAGCCGCGCTGCCTAATGCATGTATGTCTATTGAGGCAGGAGATTATTTATGATTAAAATCATCATTACTCGCTGAATTCTCAACCGATTTTCATGCGGTTTGGTTTGTTACAATTGTCAGACATGTAGTTATGATACAGGATACTTGGTTAAATAAAAAATGCAGCTTTTCATACCAAAATATTTGATCTTATGTAGATAAAGTAACAGTAATAGTTCTACAACACATTTAAACTAAACTTTCCCCATGTAATAAATATTCTTTTTCTTACTAGATGTACAATGCCCACCATGATGTCATTTAATTATTAATTTTGATTAGCTATAAATGTTTATTCACATTTCACACAATGTGCAAAAAATAGTGTATCAGCAGGGCTGTGCCGAGCTGCAGTGTAGATTCTGATTAACAAATGTTGGTTTTGTACAAGTGAAAATAAATGACTTAGACCTGCATGTTTACACAACATTTTGCTTTAATCTCATATGTATAACACCACAGTGCTCGTGGGAGCCTGGACACAGAACTGTTTACATTATTAGGTCATATTTACAAAAAAATATACACAGTGTACAGTAGCTAGTATTATTTTTTGCAGAGATGCTCGGGAAAATTGAATACAGAAGGAGTCACTCCGTCCCTTAAATGGACAGTCTGCCCAGTCCTGTCGAAGTCCTCAGGTCTGAAGTGACAGCTGCAGATGACTGAGGAGTCACTCGGGACAAAGTCCTTTCTCCTCACTGCTGCTACCCATGCCCGTCTCCTCTCTGTGTGTTTTTGGGAAACTACACACAAAGTAAGTGTGTCAGAAAAACGCAGTTCCACATAATTTGTAGTTAACGTTACAATTCAGGCCACAAGTTAACTACTAACGTTATACTGCGTTATGTCACTTTGGTGCCATGAAACAGATAGTTGACAATTTGGAATAACACATACACCGACATAGCTGTTTGACAAAGCATCATAATTTTATAAGTAATATTATATAAATGGTAACAGTAAAATATTGTAAAACAACTTCTTACCTGTGGAATGTTATTCCCTTCTGCTTGGTTTTAACACTTCTTTCGTTCGTACACCCAAATGCAGGGCAAAAATGTGGCATTTTGCCGAGTCTGAACCGGTCAGAGCACCTAGGCAAGATGGCGGCGGTATTGACGCAGCCCACAAGCCAGGGTGCGGCATCTATGTGTATTTATCTATGCAGCCGGAAGACGAGCGCTGAAGAGGAAGTAGCGCATGCGCCCTGTACAGCAGAGACGCTACCATGGAGGAATCTAACATGGAGGTGTTCGTGAGTTCTCCGAGCTTCAGGTTCTCTACCTGGATGTTTCCGGACAGATGTTCAGTCCGAGACGTTCTGAGACGGTTCGTCCAGCAGCAGGTGAGAGTGACGTCAGGCTGAGGCGGGAAAACAGAAACGATTCGGGGCTAAATGTTGCTGTGTAATGTCGCTCATGTGCTAACGGCAGAAGCTAGCCTCGTTAGCAAACAACACCTGACCGGTGTTGTGTCCCTACTGGTTTCCAATTTAACTGGTTTCCTTACCGAACAGCTGCAGATGTGCTTCGCCTCTGTCAGCAGATTCGTCACAAATTCACAAACATACACAACATATTAGTGGCGATCTTAAAGTCGCAGCCCACATCTACCACAGCGAATATGCTTCTGTCAGTGAGCACTACGTACCAGCGACATTAAAAAAAGAAAGGAAAGAAAATATGATATACACAAATTTACGTCAAGCTGGACTCGATTTCACATCAACAAAAGACAATATAACACAAACCGCATGTCTACCTGTGTGAGCCACTGAGACTCACAGAGCGCACAGCTTTCCTCAGGTAGCTACATAAATTCAACACAAAAATATTAAAAACAGTCATTATTAATTATAGGAACACAATCAAATGCCATAGCCTACATTGCTTTTTCTTAGTTTCCCAAGTGATTAACCAAAAAGTGGCCCAATTTAGCTGATATCACCCTACCTGAGGAAAGCTGTGCGCTCTGTGAGTCTCAGTGGCTCACACAGGTGGATATGCGGTTTGTGTTATATTGTCTTTTGTTGACGTGAAATCAAGTCCAGCTTGACGCAAATTTGTGTATATCATATTTTCTTTCCTTTCTTTTTTTAATGTCGCTGGTACGTAGTGCTCACTGACAGAAGCATATTCGCTGTGGTAGATGTGGGCTGCGACTTTAAGATCGCCACTAATATGTTGTGTATGTTTGTGAATTTGTGACGAATCTGCTGACGGAGGCGAAGCACATCTGCGGCTGTTCGGTAAGGAAACCAGTTAAATTGGAAACCAGTAGGGACACAACACTGGAGAACGTTGTATTACCGTGTTCTAACATTTAAGTGATGAGAGTAGAGTTAGTTTCCTCCGGTGAGTCAGTGAGTAAAGTTTTAGTTTAACGCGGACATGGAGATTTGTTGATTTGGGACTTTCAAGCCTGAACGTGATCAGAAACAAACAGATGAAAAAAACATGGAGAAAATGAAAAGAAATTATTCACATGTTTTGTGCTTCACAAAGTTCTGGCGCTCTTTATTCGTAAAAATACAGCTTTAATTCACACAAGATTAATAAAGCCAAACGCCTTAATATCTTTGTCAGAGCGCCCAGATATGATCTTTGTATAATCACCTGTCGGATCAGAGAAACGGGAGCACCTGATGTGAATAACAAACGCACCTTCTGTAACAATACGGTAGAAACATGATGTCTTCAGTGTGATCACGTGACTGTCTGCTGGACTGGTTCAGTTGGAGACCTCTTGACAACGTTTCACCCAAAAAAACTGATTTTTATTGATTTTCAAAAAAGAACGAGCAGTTTAAAATAAATTTGCTTTGTTATCTTGATCAAATAGAATACTAATCAATCAATAATATCAAAAACTAACCAAAACTATGACTTTATGTAAATCTTAATAACTGATGTGATCAACACTGTGTGTGTGTGTGTGTGTGTGTGTGTGTTCATACTTGTGTATGTCTGGTTTGGTACGATCACATCAGTTTGCAGTGAACCTCTGTCAATAAAACAGCTCAGTGTTATTGTGGAGACTATATGACATCATAACTGTGGTTATATGTGTCACACACTCTGCTACAGTCTGTTTAAAGGACAGACAGACAGACAGACAGACAGAGACACGTACATAAACAGAAGTTCTGTTTTAGAACAGATGAATTCAAACATTTCACTAGTGTGTGTGTGTGTGTGTGTTTAGGGAGTTTCTTCTTCTTCAGATTTCTACGTCATCAGAAATGGTCGACGGTCACAGCTGGACGATCCTCTGCAGCAGGGAGCCATCTATCACCTGGAGCCCCGCCTCTGTGGAGGGAAAGGGGGTGTGTATCAAGAAGTACACTGAACCAAAACTGTGTGTGTGTGTCTTCTTCTGTAGTGTTAAAATGTGTGTGTGTGTGTGTGTGTGTGTGTGTGTGTTTGTGTGTGTGTGTGTTTCAGGGTTTGGCTCCATGCTGCGAGCTCTGGGCGCTCAGATTGAGAAGACGACAAACCGTGAGGCCTGCAGAGACCTGAGTGGTCGACGCCTCCGAGACGTCAACCACGAGAAAGAGTAAGAGCTCGGGTTACATCACAGTAACCACCTGCACCTGCTTCCATAACAATAACAACAACAACAACAACAACCTTGTCGTCAAAGAACGTTTATGTTCTCACAACACTGTTAGTATAAAGATGTAAGACTGCAGCTGATTGTTCTCCTGTAGCGTAACTCTTCTTCTGTGGTGTAACTCTTCTTCGTCTGTGGCCTAACTCTTTTTCATATGGTGTAACTCTTCTTCTTCTGTGGTGTAACTCTTCTTCTGTGGTGTAACTCTGATTCGTATGTGGTCTAACTCTTCTTCTGTGGTGTAACTCTGATTCGTATGTGGTGTAACTCTTCTTCTGTGGCCTAACTCTTCTTCTTCTGTGGTGTAACTCTTCGTCTGTGGTGTAACTCTTCTTCGTATGTGGTGTAACTCTACTTCGTCTGTGGCCTAACTCTTCTTCTTCTGTGGTGTAACTCTTCTTCGTATGTGGTGTAACTCTTCTTCTTCTGTGGTGTAACTCTTCGTCTGTGGTGTAACTCTTCTTCTTCTTCTGTGGTGTAACTCTTCTTCTTCTGTGGTGTAACTCTTCTTCGTCTGTGGTGTAACTCTTCTTCGTCTGTGGTGTAACTCTTCTTCGTCTGTGGTGTAACTCTTCTTCTGTGGTGTAACTCTTCTTCTGTGGTGTAACTCTTCTTTGTCTGTGGTGTAACTCTTCTTCATATGTGGTGTTCCTCTTCGTCTGTGGTGTAACTCTTCTTCTGTGGTGTAACTCTTCTTCTGTGGTGTAACTCTTCTTTGTCTGTGGTGTAACTCTTCTTCATATGTGGTGTAACTCTTCGTCTGTGGTGTAACTCTTCTTCTGTGGTGTAGCTCTTCTTCGTCTGTGGTGTAACTCCTCTTCGTCTGTGGTGTAACTCTTCTTCTGTGGTGTAACTCTTCTTCTGTGGTGTAACTCTTCTTTGTCTGTGGTGTAACTCTTCTTCATATGTGGTGTAACTCTTCGTCTGTGGTGTAACTCTTCTTCGTATGTGGTGTAACTCTTCGTCTGTGGTGTAACTCTTCTTCGTCTGTGGTGTAACTCTTCGTCTGTGGTGTAACTCTTCGTCTGTGGTGTAACTCTTCTTCGTATGTGGTGTAACTCTTCGTCTGTGGTGTAACTCTTCTTCGTCTGTGGTGTAACTCTTCGTCTGTGGTGTAACTCTTCTTCTGTGGTGTAACTCTTCTTTGTATGTGGTGTAACTCTTCGTCTGTGGTGTAACTCTTCTTCGTCTGTGGTGTAACTCTTCGTCTGTGGTGTAACTCTTCGTCTGTGGTGTAACTCTTCTTCGTATGTGGTGTAACTCTTCGTCTGTGGTGTAACTCTTCTTCGTCTGTGGTGTAACTCTTCGTCTGTGGTGTAACTCTTCTTCTGTGGTGTAACTCTTCTTTGTATGTGGTGTAACTCTTCGTCTGTGGTGTAACTCTTCTTCGTCTGTGGTGTAACTCTTCTTCGTCTGTGGTGTAACTCTTCTTCTGTGGTGTAACTCTTCTTCGTCTGTGGTGTAACTCTTCTTCGTCTGTGGCGTAACTCTCTTTCTTTGGTGGTGTGTGCAGGATGGCAGAGTGGTTGAAGAAGCAGGCGGAGCGCGAGGCGGAGAAGGAGCAGCGTCGTTTGGAGCGTCTGCAGAGAAAACTGTCTGAACCCAAACACCAGTTCTCTGATCCCGAGTACCAGCAGCAGTGTCACGACCTGTCGGAGAGACTCGAGGACTCGGTCATCAAAGGTCAGTGATGATGTCATGTTTCTGTGTCGGATTAAAGGGATAGTGCACCCAAAACTGAAAATTCAGCCATTATCTACTCACCCATATGCCGAGGGAGGCTCAGGTGAAGTTTTAGAGTCCTCACATCACTTGCAGAGATCCAAGGGGAGAGGAGGTAGCAACACAACTCCACCTAATGGAGGCTGACGGCGCCCCAGATTCAAACGTCCAAAAACACAT